TATGCTGGTCTGATTTTTAAGTTGGCAATAGGATGCCCAGAAGAAACCATTTTTAACTCGAGTTATGAGGTTAGTGTTGCCATAGTATTGCAAGAGAACTGATGCATTTGTTGTCAAGTGAAAGAGAATTTCCTGAAAATATTCACAGTACTATACTATACCTCACTAGGCTTAGAGTGGGGAATTGTAATCAACCAAGTAATGATTACAATTCAATAACTGCTATGGCTACTGCGCAGTGTGTATATTTATACACCCCCAACAGAAAGAAATTCATGTGGGCACAGAATGCTAATAACACTGCATCACTCTCTAGAGTTGTCTGCACTGGGACAAAGATTCCTATGTTTTGAAGGGAACAAAGGTTTTTATGTCTCTGTGAGTGAGTGTTTCTCCTGATCACTTCATGTTGCTGCAGTACACAGACAGGCTGGTGCTGTACAATAAGTCCCTGATGAGCTGTGGTGCTGGGAGTGGAAAAAGGAAGAGAAAGGAAGAGAAGAGCTGATGCATTTCCTCTGGACACACACTGTTTGAGGGTGTTGCTGATTTGTCATGCAAGTGTGCACTTCGAAGTGTGTGCATGTAACTGATGCACATGCATACACACACGCCAATACACCCACATAGACACACGCGCACACACCACAGGCATTGTTAAATTCTACTGCTGATGGTAACTTGATATGCAATAAGTCCCATGCATGGGCCAGGGCAGCACAATAGTGAGGCCAAGTCTCCAGTGGTTGGTGTGTTTACTGTCCAAGGCAGCCTCAGTCATCTAGCCTGCCCTTATTCTGTCACTGGCACTTTGTTTTTCATACAAATTTTCATTTTCTGAGAAAATCCGCTCTATTCAAATTAAACACTGCTTTATTTAAGTTTTTTTTCCATTCAAGTACTTGGTATTTAATATATTTATGAGGCATTTGGGCCTTTTTTTTTAGATAGGATATTGTAAAGCAGCCAGGAAAATGGGGAGAGATGGGGGTTGGTTGAAGGCACCCGGGCCACTGCAATAAGGACTATAGCCATAGGTGCTCCACATCGCCATTCATTTCTAGTATTTGAGCCATTTTCATTTTACTATTTTATTTCAGAATCATATCCAGTAAAGTTATCAATAACTTCCCTCCTATGTGTAAGTAAACTCAGAACCCACATGTGGATGGTAGGTGGAGGTGGGGCTGTTATATGAATAGCAGTCAGTAGCATCTAGTGATTTTTACATAAAGGCAAGCAGAGACCATGCATCAAAGAGATAAACTGAACCAGATGTCTTGTATTCCTATATGCTGACACCCTCTCTGCATCTTGTAGCACTCTCCCCGGACACATTCACCTTACTGCACACACGTTCCTGGCAGGTTCACTCTTTACAGGGGGACTAAAAATACGAATGAAAACTTACGGCATTTTATCAAAACAACTGGTAATTCAGTCAACAAGTTATTTTTCATAGATGCCAATCTGATGATGGCAGAACCTGCACTTGTCTGTTCAACTTTTTTATTAAACCAGACATGGTAAAAGTTGATGATTGCTCTCTCCATTTAAGGCTTTTATTGCTAATGTGCTAAAGGGGTTATTAAATGTTTCTTCATGGGACAATTTCTTCTACATCACTCATGTTAGCCAATGTGGATAGTAAGAAAAACTTACTTCTTGATTAATCACAGTATAGTTCAGTGATTTACTTGCTACTGTTTTGTGCAATGATGCACCAATTATAGCAGTGAAAGCAGAGCCAGAGACAACTTGTCTAGTATGCTGGTGACCTGTCAGTCTTCTGCCTAAAACCATCCACATTTTGCATGCAAACAGCTAAGGATAAACATAAATATTTTGCCTCTCAACTAGAAAAGTTCCAGCTTTTGTTAATGGGGCACAGACACATCCATAAAAATGACAAAAACTATAAAGTCTAATGGCTCGGAGTCAAGCTAACTTCAGGAGGCAATAACTGTGGCCACAAGATGGAAGTAATTTAAAGGATGGATGCAAACAGACAACATGAAATGCTTTAGGGAAGAAACATTTATTTGAGATGTAAGGCAACAAATCTCTTTCACTTTGGTTGGTTTTAAATGATGTCCGTTTTTAAATTTCACAAGGAAAGTACTGCTGCCTTGCTTGCCCCGATGGAATGTTATTCATAGCAGTTATAGAGGTGGCTGCAGCACATGGGAGACCAAATGTGACTATGTACTATAAACTTCTAATCATAAAGGTGCAACAATAAGCACCAAAGAAAATGTGTTCTGACTGCAATAGCAACCTCAAGCTATCTATATTTGGTGAAGGACTAGGGGTTGTATATTTGCTGATACAGTTTCCGTAATCACATGGGAGTGTGGTATAATAGCAAGTGAGGCTCAGTGGCTCATGGAAAAACAAGAGAATGGCTTGTAACAAAATATTAATAACTTTACACACACTCTAAGTAACTGTACATTAGTGCTTTCCAGCCCACAAATTGCTGAGTTCATTTAGAGTACTCAGTGCTAAAGCTGCCTTCTGTGCAGATGACTGCCACTCTCACAAAATTTAGATGTCTACGTGGTCAGTGAGCAAAGACAGCACTGACGGGTGCCTGGGGCTGGATCCAGGCTTAGTCTGTGCAGTCAATCAGCCAACTATTCTGTCAGGCTCAAAGGGTAAAAGACCTATTAAAATCCAAAATACCTCTGCTGGGAATTAAACTAATATTCACTTGTAGCTGTCTCTAACCACATGCTCACGAAAGAGGTTTTTGTTTTTCTTTTTTAAAATGAATTTCAAATATACCCATACAGGGGATTTAGATAAGGGTGAAAAGGAATTATGCAATAATCACATTTATAAAAGTAAATAGAATCTTTTCCCCAGAAGCGCAGGTGTCTGTTGGAGTAGGGGTGGGGACGGTTGGGAGGTTCAGGTTGGCATGTGTGCATCAGTGACCTCATATCAACCTTACAGTCCTTATAGCAAGAACAGGCCTATGACTGATATCATCTGACAGACTGTACAGAAACTATAACCAGATCTGATCCGTGGTGACAATCCTATGCTCTAAATATGGCCGCATGCAGAAAAAAGCTTTCTTTAAGTGGACTCGCTTGTGTATTACGGTCAAATTCTGTGTCAGAAAGGTGGTGTTTAACTACACAGCAGGAGGGAGTATTATGAATATGAGTAATACATATGCATTGACTAGTCCTGGACCTTGACACCACTGTGACAATCCAGTATCTTGTTGAAAATCAAGCCAAGATAGACGGATAGACTCTGGCTTATAGTGCAGAGCACATGAGCTGAATGACACTCGCTGGCCAGACGCGGACACAAGGACAGGCTTTGGGGCAAGCTGTTATTAAGACAAGAAAAGGCTGGACATCTGTGTTTGTAGATATAGTTAATGTAGACAGACGGGTAGCAAACCTGCTCTTACACACATTGTGGTATCACTTGTTGACAGTCAGAGAACACACCTGCTTGTCAGGCCACACCTTGTCTGATACTGTTTACCAAAAGCAGCCTTCCTGTTGTGTAAAGCTACAGATTTTTCCCTGTACTGTTAATCTGGAAGACAGCTGTTACATGTTTTTTCCTATTTCAGAAATCTGACTGTAAGACTTGAATCTTAGTTGCTTCTTACTTAGCTTCATGCTTCCTTTGATAACAGTTGGGGGAAAAAAGTTGGTATTGTCTTAATCATTAATCAGATGAGAAACAGTTGCAGTGGTAGAAATAACTTTTCAAAGCACTGCATCCTTTGCGTGTAGTGTCTCTCTCTCTCGCGTTCTCTTTTGTAAAGCACCGAATAACATTTACATCAGTATTACATTATTCTGTTTTCGCCTGTGCCTGTCATTATAGGGCAACCTCAGTGTGTGTGGACACAATGCAGAGAGCAGCACACAGGAAAGAAATGGTATTACAAGCAGTGTTAGGTCAGACAGGTGCAGGACATAGCTGGCAGAGGGAAGCAACCACATAGGAGAGAGCAGCCTGCTGGAAAGGTCTGCAGAACCTCTTAACCTCTGCATTGTTTCCAAGCCCACAGACACACACATCAAAGCAGCACAACACACACCTGCAGGCACAGACAGCACACCCACCTCTTTGGAACAAAGTTAGAGCAATAGTCTGGCATATTTTTGGCATGTGCTTCTCCCTTGTGTATGATGTAGAAATATGAAAGCAATGCTTCAATAACAATATGGGATATATGCAATTAAGCACGAAACACACACCATGATGCAGGAGTATTACTCACGTTATAACACTGGCTTTTCTTGGGATGGCCTCACAAACACCCCCCCCCCCCCCCCCCCCCCACACACACACACACACACAATCACACACACACACACAATCTTGTAATTAATCCAGGAAATTAATGTGTGATACATCCATTTTCGCGAACCACTTTTGCTCAACTTGAAATCTATGAATATTCTAATTGCTGCCTTTGGGCCTTTTTGCAGTCGAACTTGGCGCTACTTATTGATAACAATGAAGGATGCGCGATATTTAATATCTGGGGTCTGCTTTTATTACTCAGTGTTGCATCATTTTCAAGAATATATAAAAAAAATGAAGCGCGATTGTGGGCATTAATTCAGTTGTCGTGCAGGCTGGAAATAAAAATGCCATCATTTGTGCATTACCCGTGTATGATCTGAATGTATGACCCACTGTTACTGGTCAGGTAAGTTTGCTTCTTGAATCGACAGTTTGTTGCCCACTCGAGCTTTGATCTGATTATCCAATAAAATGTGTAAAACTGTGACGCGTGGTCTGCCGTTGGAGCGCACACTCAGTTTGTTATTAGACGTGTTACTACTGGTGCCCAGAGCTGTTCAGCTTAACGCACTGAAGCCTCTATCTGCTGCCTTTCGCTTTTTGTATTGTTCGAGTAGGAGGAGCCGCTTTCCTGTGATTGTCTGCCTCCCTCCCATCTCTCTTTCTCCCTCTCTCTCTGTCTCGCTCTCTTTCCCTCTCTCATTTTTCCAAAGTTGAATATTACAATTGCCTGGGAGCTCTCGCCAGCGGAGCGGTGCAGCCCACTGACTGAACGGCACCGGACTGGTGTTTTTGCTTTGCGCCGCGCTGTGCGCTTTGTGGAACAGACGTGAAGGAGTACTCTTCAATACCCCGGCTCGGCTCATCCCCTCCCTGTCCACCCTTCTGTGTTTCTTTCGTTTCGGGGCTTCTCTCAAGATGACAGAAGAAAAGAGAAGTGGGCATGTAAAGCTGGTAGGTGTCTGAAACCCCTCCCCTCCGCGCTCAGAGGTGTCTGACTCGGTCTATCTGTGTGGGGGTTCAGGTTTGTGGGAACGCTCAGACAAGCCGGGGGAGAAAGAAGCGCCCGGAAATAGAAACGGGAACCGGTGGTGCTTTTCCCAGCCATCTATGGGATTTTTCTTTACGCGTTTGTGTAAGCTTTCTCTTGAATGGAACCGAGCCATACGCGCACGAACATGTCTGAGGTAGGCTGCTGGTAATAATGCTCAAACTTAGACATTAGTGCTGGGACAGGTTTTCTCAGAAGCTTCCACGTCCGTGTGTCCCCATCTGATAATATACTGTACGTGCAGATTTGTGTATGTGGCAAGTTAAGGCAACAGCAGTGTATGCACTCATTGGTGGTCTAACATTAGATTAAAACGGCATTTTTTGCTTACGAGGGTAATTTAGGGGGAAAGATGGGTAAATAGAGCATTTACGTAGTGTGCTCCAAAGTGCCTCTAACTCCCATCAGAGCTTAAGATAACCGAGCTTTAGTTTGGATACCCCTGCTGCGCATATGATGGCATACTGTTTATTAGAGTGATTCAGCTTCAGAGAGTCTTGTATTATGGTTATGTTTATTTAAAGGGTTTTATAGGCTCATTTCGCGAGCTGTAGTGTATCCATGAAACACAGACGCTCGAGATTTTTGCAGTTTATCTTGTCCCGGGGTGAATGATAGACTATAAACAAGGGGTCCTTATTGCATCCTCGTGCTTTTCAGAGCAATAGAGATTCATCCAAGCGAGAAACATCAACCTGATTTGTTTTGAAAATTTTGTGGAACTCTCTGGTAACCAGTAATGAACCCGATTGAAATAAGTTTTCCCCCTATTTTAAATGCCATTTTTGTAGCACTCTCGCTAAGAGAACATTTTTAACATTAATAGAATTTCTTTTCTTTTTTAAATCTCTATACTTTGATAGCAATATGCGTGCTACACTTACACAAATTAAGCCTTTACTTTTTCATTTTAGCTAAATCCAATCTCTGCCACCGTAGCACTGAAGGGAACTTGTGCCCCAAAATTAATAGCCCAACAAACTGGGATGAAATACACAGACAACATTGTGTTTAAGTGTCGCTACATATCGTTCATCTCACGCAGTGCTGAATGCCAAACATTATCCTGGACTTCTAATAATCCTGCTGAGCTCAGCTGACAGCATGAGGAAATGTGCTTCTTGTTAGGCTGCTGAAGTGTTTTGCAGCACTAACAAGTAACTACTGTTATGTGATAGGTGCCTGTCAGGTCATACGTCTGTAGTAGTTTGCGTTGTTTTGCTTCAACCATTTACTCGAATCAGTCCCTCCGTGCTAAATCTCAAATCCTGCTTTCCAGATTGCTACTCACTGCCTCTCCACTCACCCTCTCTGTGCCTATGCCACCAGTTTGCGTGAAGCAAAACCACAATAGGGTGGACTAAAAGCTGAAACCCAATCAGGCTTTTGCAATTCCTCTAGCAGAAGTTTTCCCAGTTCTTTTTTTTTTTTCTCTTAAACCCTTGGCGCTGACTGTCTCCTGCCATTAGACAACATGGCTCATCAGACTGATTACACATCAGCATACTCATGTACGCTTCCATCTCAAACAGACAAGAATGCAGTTAATGCTCCTGGCTGCTAGTTACACTCTCAAATGCCATGTGTTCACTTTCCTGACTGATTTTCTATCTTTAGGATTGTTTTCCTGTTTCTCACTTTATCACCCTCCCCCTCTTCCTTCCTCCCTTCCCTTCTTATTATTTCTCTCCCCTTCTAACTCTTTCTATCTCAGAGGAAAAAGTGGGTGTTGTTCCCTGTCGGTACGGGAACCTACATCACAAAGCTCACTGTTATGCCTGCTTTACTTTCTATCAGGTTCTTTTGCTTAGGCTGTTGTGTATACATTTCTGTCTATTCACTGTGGGCAGCCAAAAGAATTAAAAGAAAGGTGGTAGCCTTGTTGTCCAGTGATGCATGTTGTAAGATTAAATTTAATGGATCAAGGGAGATGCAGCAAGCGTGATTCATTCAACAAGGTTTAATGGATTAGGTCGTGTAACGGTCATGTCTTGGATTTGAAAAAGCTCGACATTGCTGCTGCCAAAAAATATGGACAATATTGGTACCAGAGCCTCCCCTGCAATGCTGAGGGTTAGTTCACTTAATATAAGAATAAAGCAGTAGACGTGTTTCTCTTTGTTCTTACTTCCTAATGTGCTGAATTTCTAAAATACTTCTGATTGTCCTCTGGCCATTTTTTCATTTCATTTCAAGTGATTTGTGAGTTATATGGTATTTCTTTAAAGTCACTAAAGCTGTAAAAATCATTGGAGACCAGATTTGTGTTCATCAGTTTAGAATGAGCCCTATTAGGTCTCCTTTGATTTTCGAGATTGCAGCAGTTGCATGTCAAGCCCCGATCACCTTGATCAGATTTTGAATTAGCCCACCTGTTAATCTGAAGTTGGTATAGCTGCCAGTAATATACCTTAAAGCACATAACTTCATCTGAACTACATGACAGACAGTAAGTGGTAGCTTGTACCATTTTGTGCGTCTGCACAGAGGTGGCCAGCTTTGTGCAGTCGAGGGATATACGGAGTGAAGCCATGCATCTGAACTTGGGATGTTTTAAAATCCCCTCTGCTCTCTTGTTCCCTTCAGCGTTCCAGCTTTCTGCAACAAATCTAGAACACAGCAATTCCTCTAATTCTCTAAAACAGTTCAAATGAATCATCTTAGCGAGCAGACATGGCCCGCTTAATAAACTGTGTGCTCCTGAGTTTCTACCTTCAGCTGTGTTGTTTTTGCACATATGCGCAGTAAATGAGCTGAGAAAACAGTTTTGTATTGACAAATGTTGGGGCTAATGTAGAGGCAGACAAGGTTTAGGTTTAAATAGCCTGCTATATATTTCAGTTATTGCTTTACGATTTTTTAAAGGTCTTTTTGCGTGTTCATTTTGCACTAGTAATAACACCCTAGAGGATATGCTTTTGTGATGGGTGCAAAAGTGATGGGTTGGTAGCACTGAAGTAAGCATAATCACAGCATCAAATGCACTTCAGGGTGCCATTAACAAAACCACAGGAATCTGCAACAAGCACCTATGTTAAATGGAAAGTGTCAAAACTAGCAGGGCCTGCTGCCCATTGTTTTAGAAGAGAAGCATGCTGTTGATCATTGTATATCAAATGATAACAAAAAAAGATGTGTGTTGCAAAGAATTTCTAGTTCTTTCTTTGCCTCTCTCCCACTGTACAGCTGTTCAGTTTCTTCACATTATTCATATTGGTCAAAGGCCAGATAAATCTTGTGGAAAAATTACTCACTTGTGTAGTTGTAGCTACAGTGAGGGCGATGGGGATTGAAATTAACCATGCATATGTGAAGGTGGTGGTAATTAGTTGTAAAGAGTAGAGGGACCGAGTGAGACTAAAAGATTGCCAAGTCTGACTGCGGATCATTCATTAAAGAAAATAGTTTCTGTGTGATATAGTATTGATCTGCGGAATAAATCTTGGAGTTGAGACCTACATCGCATGGATGGATGTATGGTGTGACAGATTGCCTCCTGTCTTTGTCTCCAGACTCCTTTGATCTCTTCAGTGCACTCAGTGCAATGAAGGTCCCTGCCAAGGGAGGCATAGCTTGTCTCCCAGATATATTTGCTCTGCATGTAGATCAGCAAAGAGTACTCATGCATGGCACCACATTGCTTAACTTTCTTCTCCCGGCCAAAATGCCGTTTTATTCTTGTGCTAGCATGAAAGTCCTGCGGCGCCATCTATGTGCTCTACTATAGTTTTGTTAACGTTATATCTTAACACAGGCAGAGGAGCTTCTGTATTGCAGTGCTAGCATGGGGAAAAAAGCCTTGGTAATCTAAAACAGTGCACTGTGCTGTTGAAACAAAAATGACTATATAGAAGGTTACATAATCACAAAATTGTGGCTACAAGTGTTGGGCACACTTCTGTAAAGTGCTGAATTGTGTGCTTGTGTGCTGCTGTTCAGTGCTCCACTCCACTGTCTTCATTTTGTTAACTCTGGTCTGGCAAGCATCAGTATATATGCTGTGGCGGGAGGCATCATAGACGTTAATTAGTTTGCATTCAAGAACCCATCAGAGCTTCAGTTCAAATATATTGTCCATCCTTATCATTATGTGAGCTCCAGCCCATACTTTACTGACTTGTCCAACCTCCAAGCGTTTCATCTATAACCGAGCCTTAGTGGATGATTTACAGACTAATATCTCAGAGCTAACAGCTTGAGCTTACGAGCTTTTGAGTTAAACTTGAAAATATGGGCAAAACAAGTCTTGAGTGGTGAGAGAACTTAAACCTCTGGCTGCTCGCACATGTAAACATGTATTGTGCCAAATTCTATATGCAGTACGTAACATGAAGTGCCAAGTCCCGTCTTTATATTCCTCTTTCTGTTGGCAATGTCCATGCTTGTATTTTTTTCTGTCTCTGTGTCACTTAACAGGAATGCAAACCTTTTCAACTAACACTAATGACATTCTGATATAAGCAAGTGCTGTATTTATACATTACAGATTACATATAGTTGCATGGTGGTGCAGACTAAACAAAACAAGGGTGGGACTGTGACCTGTCGTGTTGACCTGATCTGTATGTAAGAAACACCAGATCAAAACTGGAAAAGGAGAGCTCAGCTGAGAACAGCTGAGGAGGAGGCGGCCAATTTTCATCCACACTAGTTAACAGTCAGCTGCCTATGTTGGTACAGATGTTTCCTATGATCTCACCTGCTGGCAGCAGGATCCAGAATCTGGGCCCAGTTCTGACGTCATGCTGTCCACCCAAGAGGCCTGTCTATTGGGTAAAGTGTTCCACACCTCCTGTCTGTTGGAAGCAGAAACTATGGATATTGTGAAGGTGTAGACTTCTGCCCGGGGAATGACATGAGCTGGGGGGAGTTAAAAGTCATATGTGAACAAAATGCTTTGAAG